GCGCCATGGGCCCAGAGCGCCAGCGTGACCGCTGCAATCGCAGGCGCCCGGGTTCCGAGGCGCGGTGGCGCCATGGCCCCCTAGCGCCAGCGCGGCCACTGCAGTCGCTAGCGCACATCTGAGCAGGAGAGCACGGAAATGAAGCGTGGCGGTCTCAGCAGATGATTAACGTGCCACAGGAGAATTAAAGGGGTTTTGCATCGTCAATCCTCACGGCTAGTGACAAGTCGAGTTGATGAGGTTGATGACCGTGCAAACGTAGGTTCTAGCCAAGTTACCAAGAACTAAAACACTGCGTCTTTGGCGCGATAGCCTGCGTCTTACATTTCGCATCGCGCGTTAATTGGCTCTCATTAGCTAGAATGTGAATGGGAGGTGGATGGTATGGCATTTCAAGCGGTGATTTTTACGTCGAGTCATTAGTGCTGTGGTCTGACCAAAGACCAACCAAGCAATCACTTACCTCGCGTGGTAGCTTTCCGTACTAAGACTTTGTGAGTTCAAAATGGTTAGGACTATAGCACCAGTTACTGTAATGTGGTCACTGACTGGCTAGTGCTAGTCACTGTAATCTAGTCACTGACTGACTGGTACTTGCCACTGTAATGACGGTCCTGACACGGTGTATTGACTAGGACCGACCTGTTGGCTCATCTGTTGCCTCGGTTGGGGTGTCGTAAAGGTATTTGCCATCTGACCAAACAGGATTCGGAAGCGTTCCGCGGCCTTAGCGTTAGTTACCACGAAATCAAGAACGTCGAGACCTTTCGATGACTCGCGTCATTTGACAAGCGCTATCAGTGACACCTGTTCCCGAGCTGCGGGTGCCGCCGCCGCTACCTGTCCAGGAGGAGAGCAGGCCGGGCTGGTCTCACCAGACGCTGAGCAGCACGTACCGATCGCTTCCAGGACTGGGCCCTGTCCATGCGACGGTCTACACCAGCTAGAGAAACCTCTCAGCCCGAGCCCCCAGCGACGTTCTCAGGCGACACGGCACTCAGTGGTCTGTGACCAGCGCAGTGTAATCACAGGCTAGGTATGCGTTCTCAGGCGACACGGTACTCAGTGGTCTGTGACCAGCGCAGTGTAATCACAGGCTAGGTGTGCGTTCTCAGGCGACACGGTACTCAGTGGTCTGTGACCAGCGCAGGTTAATCACAGGCTAGGTGTTCGTTCTCAGGCGACACGGTACTCGGTGGTCTGTGATCAGCGCAGTTTAATCACAGGTTAGGTGTGCGTTCCCAGGTGACTCGGTACTCGGTGGTCTGTGACCCACGCAGTTTAATCACAGGTTAGATGTGCGTTCTCAGGCGACACGGTACTCGGTGGTCTGTGACCAACGCAGTGTAATCACAGGCTAGGTGTGCGTTCTCAGGCGACACGGTACTCGGTGGTCTGTGACCAGCGCAGTGTAATCACAGGCTAGGTGTGCGTTCTCAGGCGACACGGTACTCGGTGGTCTGTGACCAGCGCAGTTTAATCACAGGTTAGGTGTGCGTTCTCAGGCTACTCGGTACTCGGTGGTCTGTGACCAACGCAGTTTAATCACAGGTTAGATATGCGTTCTCAGGCGACACGGTACTCGGTGGTCTGTGACCCACGCAGTTTAATCACAGGTTAGATATGCGTTCTCAGGCGACACGGTACTCGGTGGTCTGTGACCAACGCAATTTAATCACAGGTTAGGCGTGCGTTCCCAGGTGACACGGTACTCGGTTGTCTGTGACCAGCCCAGTTTAATTACAGGCTAGGTTTGCGAATATCAGAACATGGAAACAAACTTGAGGTATTCGTGGCCTGCAATCACAACTTACGCCCATACACTTTTTCTCGCTCTTTCTGGTTGTGTTTATTTCGCACTTTTCACACTTGCACACTTTCACATTTTGTGCAATTCAAATAAACGGAGACTTCAATTGAAAAAGTTAATAAAACCGTGAGGTCAAAGCTTAGTGCCGTTCGTATGTGAATGCTGCGGACCGTAATGAGGGTAATCCATTGACTGGGCAGGCTTGCGTGGGCTGCGTTACGTAATCATAGTCCATTTCAGGTCTACGAACATGGACTTTGTCTCACAGAGCGACGTCGTCGGGCTCGAATGGCTGTCATTGACACCTAAAATCCGGCTGAAGTGATTGTTTCGGGGCGCGCCGGTCGATGCCTCCTCGAAACTCGACCTGCTGGCGGTCGGCGTGGCGTGGGGGCTTGCAGCTGGTGAGCTGCGTGGGTGGTAATTCGGTGGGTGGGTGCGGCCAGCTGGTGAGCTGGGTGAATGGGTGGGTGGGTGTTAACTCGGTGGGTGGGTGCCGGCAGCCAGTGAGCTCGGTGTGTGTGTGTGTGTGTGTATGTGTGGTGGGTGTGTGGTAATTCGGTGGGTGGGTGCGGACAGCTGGTGAGCTGGGTGGGTGGGTGGATGGGTGTTTACTCGATGGGTGGGTGCCGGCAGCTAGTGAGCTCGGTGTGTGTGTGTGTATGCGTGGTGGGTGTGTGGTAATTCGGTGGATGGGTGCGGACAGCTGGTGAGCACGGTGGCGCCGGTGCCTACAGACATTAGCCGACAGGTAACCAGTTTCATGAAGATAAGTTATTGTTGACTTCTGGCTGGCCGGAGTAATTGCGGCGTAACTCCCAGCTTGATCGGCCGGTTTCATAAACATGGTAGCACCCCTCCGAAATAGATCGTAAACGCCGAAGTCGAAGCAATTTCAATTGCGGCACAAGCGGTCGTTGTCATGACAACGCTATCGCTTTGTAACCAGTTTGATCAAGAGAGGTAAATTTGCACTTCTGGCTGGCCGAAGTAATTTCGGCGTGACCCTCTACTTCCTACGTCGGGTTCATAAACCCGGCAGCACTTCTCCGAAGTAAATCGTGAAAGCTCAGGCCGAAGTATTTCATTGACGCATCCGTTCGTTGTCAGTGGTAGCGACGGCGTCATCTTGGATCCGGCAGTTTGGGCGCATTTAATTCATCATGAGAATGCCCCTAAAATGTTCAGAATATATCTTAGCTAGTTTGCATTTCGTTTACAAGCAAATGTATAGCGATCTGATATATGCGATCATAGCGTGCATGATATCTATTGCATGTGATCGTGTGACGCATAGCATGCGACCTTAAGGGAAAAATCAACGACAACGCGAGTCTCAACCTAAGGGGCTGGTTTTAAGAACACCATGCTGTTATGCTTATCATAGGTGTAGCTGATGTTTGCACCCGTTTAGTCGTCATTGTCCCTGTGTGCAGATAAAAGGTAATTAATCTTTCCCTTCGGCATCAACTTACCCCACGTGACAGAAATGCCATATAATCAAAACACTCGTCAGGTGCTAGCGTTGCAGGTCAAGTGATTCGAAGCGCATGTGCTTTCGAACAGAAAATGTAGAACAGTCACAGTGATCAGAACTACAAATAAGATGAAGGTGCGTACCAGAATGACGTAGCCATTTCCCACTGTGGGTTGATCTGTTCTCGAAACATCCTGCGCCTCTTTTGTTGACCTTGCGCAGGTTCCTACATGACCTCAACTGTTCGATTTACGATGGTGAAGGTCGTCTTTTTTATTTCACTTCAGCAACGGAGTGAATGCCTACTCCGCGGTCAAATCAGCTACGAGTGCTGAACCCGATGAACGCTTGGTGCAGTACGGAGCAACTCCTGGCCTCAAATGTCTTCGTCAGAATAATTTACGGGCGTGCAAGTAAATAGTTGCTCTTTACTCTGTGCGGCGGGATAATAAGAAAAACCGTGGGAAGTTTCCCGCTACGATAAAATTGAACGCATTCTGTATTTATAAAACTGATTGCAGGGACGCGTCCTCTGTCGGTAGACCTCACTTTAACCTGAGAAGGACCTCGGCAGCCTGGCCATTACATGTGACGCTTGTGCTGCTTTCCATGCAGGCAGCACGCCGTCCACATGCTCATCGTCCGCCCTTTCTCCCAACCGGCCTGGCGTAATACTCAGCAACGCCTCGGCGGCGCTCGCACCGCGCCCGTGCGAGCGGTGCTCCCCTCCCCCCTCGCCCTCCGGGTCGCTGCCCGTCGGCGACCGTCCCCGGGCGGCCCTCCGTCCGGCGCTGATCTGATTCGTGCTGGTCGCGGCCGGCGGAGGAGCTGCCGGCACGTGCCCCCCATACGCGGCCGCCCGCCCGCCCGTCCGCGCAGCCCGCCCCATATATTGCTTCCGCCGGCCGGCGGCCGGCAGCCAGCATGTGCGGAATGTCCACCGACCGCGAGGGGGTGCGCCGCGTGGGCCGCGGACCCTGGGAGCGCGACAAAGGTCAGCGCCGTGGTCATGACCCTGCCTGCCTGAGGCGCAGCAGTCACGTGGGCCGGCGTACGTTTTGCGCTTCAGCGCTGCGGATCTTCGCAATGTGTGTCGTGTGGGAGAAGAGTCCCCACCGGTAGCCGGACTGGAACCAGCAACATCTGGGCGACGGACCAGTCGCTTCAGGGGGTATGGCGCTGTATCGGCCGTCTTTTCGGCGACGCCCGCCTCACGCTGCCCTCGCCATGGCTCGCGGCCGCCAGCCCTGGCTCGGCCTCACAGACGCCTTGGCGAGAGTCCCGTCCGGGCGGCGCGCGCCGCGATACAGCGCCTCGGAGGCGATAGTGTCCCGGGATGTCCGCTTTCCTGTCTCACTTTGTAGCTCTCTCCGTAATATCACGGCTCTGAAGTGATCAATCGTGGTCGGAGGAGGTCTGACCTGATCAGGCCCAAACCTGTGCTGATACGCAGCGCTCTTGCTCCGCCGGCCACGCCAAGCCCGCCTGTGGAGCTTGGATGCCTGTGGATGAACAATTATCCCCATGCCTGCACCTTGTGTCTGGGAAGAAGCCACGCATTGTTACTCGCTGAGGCTGCAGCGACCGGTCAGCAACGGCGCCAGGTCGCCCCGGGTGGTGTCCAGTCACACAGAATCGGACTTGTATGGTCGGAGCGTGAATGGTCGTAGACACTGAAACGCCAGTAAAACACAATCACCATCCACCTTCCAGGTTTAACGGGTACGACGGCCGTCTGGACCGCATGCTGGAAGCCGCTCTGCTCGTCATGGAGGCGTTCGAGGGTCACGAGGAGAAGTTTAAGTGAGCACTGACGACGGCGACTTCCGGTGGACGGGCTGCGCCTGCCCCGTGACCTGACGTGACCCGACATGTTGCCGGTCTGAAGCGCTCGCCATCTGACCTGATTTGGCCGTGGTCTAGTCGGACGCCTCGGTGACGTGCCCTGGGCGGACACAAGCGTAACCCAGCCGTCGCCTGGCGTCCGTCGATTGACCCGGCCCGACCTGTCCGTGGCGCGGCATGTGACGTACCGTGTGCCGTACCCAGCCGTCGCCTGGCGTCCGTCGATTGACCCGGCCCGACCTGTCCGTGGCGCGGCATGTGACGTACCGTGTGCCGTACCCAGCCGTCGCCTGGCGTCCGTCGATTGACCCGGCCCGACCTGTCTGTGGCGCGGCATGTGACGTACCGTGTGCCGTACCCAGCCGTCGCCTGGCGTCCGTCGATTGACCCGGCCCGACCTGTCTGTGGCGCGGCATGTGACGTACCGTGTGCCGTACCCAGCCGTCGCCTGGCGTCCGTCGATTGACCCGGCCCGACCTGTCTGTGACGCGGCATGTGACGTACCGTGTGCCGTGCTCTGTGGCGTGGCCCGTGACTCGCCTGGTGACGTGGCCTGTAACGTGGGCTGTGATGTGCCCTGTGGCGCGCTCTGTGACATGGCCTGTGACGTGGTCTGTGACAGTATGTTGTGTGACCCATAACGAGACCTGTGACGTGGTCTGTGACGTGACATGTTGTGTGACCTGTGACGTGACCTGTGACGTTGCCTGTAACGTAGCATGTTGTGTGACCTGCGACGTGGCCTGTGACGTGTCATGTGTGGCATGTGACGTGTCATGTTGTGTGACCTGTGACGTGGCCTGTGACGTGTCATGTGTGGCATGTGACGTGGCATGTTGTGTGACCTGTGACGTGGCCTGTGACGTGGCATGTTGTGTGACCTGTGACGTGACCTGTGACGTGGCATGTTGTGTGACCTGTGACGTGGCCTGTGACGTGGCCGGTGACGTGGCCTGTGCGTGGCCCGTGACGTGGCCCACCTGGCCGCCCACAGGTACGACATAGTGGGTCACTCTGGCGAGGACCACCGGATCGAGTTCGTGCGCAGCGACCGGCCGCCGGCCGACAACAAACAGAGGCTGCAGGTGCTGAAGGTCAGTCTGGGCAGCACGAGAGCGGCCTCTTCCTCCCTTGGGACGCGTTGGAGCCAGGGACGCCGGCCGCAACCATAGCCACCCGCTCTGTATTGTTCTCAGCAGGGTGTGGCAGCACGGCGTTCTTTTCTGTTTGTTCTCAATTTAGTGTGTAAGTAAGGCCACCTGTTTTGCACTGTTGCGCCCTGAGGGTTTGTTTCGTGTTTCACGCGCCAGCCACGAATGGGCTGAAAGGCCCCTGGTGGAGGCCCGTCCGATCGCCAAGCGCACACTCCGCAGAGGTGCTCCTGCGCGTGCTTAGTTTCGGCGGTTCACATCATCCAAGCGCTCACAGTACTGCTCCACCGTTCTTCATTCTCATTCACCCCATGTCCCTGAGATGATCATTACAGGTCGAAAGGGCTGTAATCCAAGTAACCAAACGTCTGTTTATTGTCTGGGAGAGATGTGCGGTGTGCAGTGCATTGGATTCGCGGTCAGTGCAATGATCGGTGCAGTGGATTCGCGGTCAGTGTAGTGGTTGGCGTAGTGGACTCGCGGTCAGTTTGGTGGTCAGTGTGGTGGACTCCCGACGAGTGAAGTGGTCAGTGTAGTGGGCTAGCTAGGTCTAGTAGCTGTCAGAGTAGTAGACTCTCGGTCAGTCGGCTGCCGTGTTTGTTGTCCTTGGAAAAAGGCGGATGTGTTAATTCATCCCCACGAAATATTTTCATTCCAGTACTAGCGAGGAGCGTGTGCGTCTGACGTGGTTGTGTTCCAGCTTGGGTGGAGGTGCAAGCGACTTCGGAAACAACCCATTTTTAGTAGAGTCCGATGCATTGGATCCTCTTGGAATTTGTTTGGTCGACGTCAGAACTGAATCAGGCGTAATGCGAGAGTGATCGGCCAGTTCTCCCAGCCCGGTCATAAGGTTCAGTTGCGAGGGTGATCGGCCAGCTCTCCCAGCCCGGTCATAAGGTTCGGCCAGCTCTCCCAGCCCGGTCATAATGTTCATTCGATTGATTTTGTTTGCATTTCTAGTGTACTTAACGGTGCATCGATCCTCGATAACCGCCGGCTCTTCAGCAGTGAAATCTGCGCAGCTCGCCTCGCAGTTCTGAAATGGTCGCCGCAGTCAGTCACCCGATTAACCATAATGTGAAGCTGCGTGTGAGCATTTAAAAGGAATGCGTCGGACCCGGTATCTCAGCTGTCAGACCACATACGGCATGATTTACCCTCCCTTGGCGAAGTGGGTTTGAGTCTTTAGACGCTCACTTTTTGCCCCTGACTGGCATAGGCCGGGACGACGGCCACGTTGAAGGTCAGAGAGCAGAACGACCCGTCCCGAACAATACGGCACGCTAAGCCTTCGTCGCGAAATTCTGCCGCTGATGCGAACATTCACGATCAGATTGTGGGGGTCAGACCTTGCGCAACAAATGCCGCTTGGCGTAGACGCTGATCTCAGGAATTCATCCAATTAAAAAGTTCGAACTAAATTTTAAAAATAAATGAAGAAGGACGAGGAAGAGCGCGCAGAGATGAAAAGGATGAACTTTGGCACTCATCGCGGGCGAGGCGTTCCACTCGCCACGTTTGCTTCAGTGAAAGTGCACTCCTGAGGCGCCCATGCCTCCCTGTTCCAACGGCAAGGCGCCGTGTGTAGCCGTTCCTGAGATTAGGTGTACGGCTGGAAGAACTGAATTGTGAATTTAATACAAAGAGAGAGAGAGGAGAGGAGAGAGAGAGAGAGAGAGAGAGAGAGAGAGAGAGAGAGAGAGGAGAGAGAGAGAGGAGAGAGAGGAGAGAGAGAGAGAGAGAGAGGAGGAGGAGAGAGAGAGAGGGAGGAGAGGAGAGAGAAGAGGAGAGGAAGAGAGGAGGAAGGGAGAGGGAGAGGGAGAGGGGAGAGAGGAGGAGAGGGAGGAGGAGAGGGAGAGAGAGAGAAGGAAGATGTATCTATATATATAATATATATATATATATATATATATATATATATAGATATAGATATAGATATAGATAGATAGACATAGATAGATATAGATAGATAGATAGATAGATGGATATAGATATAGATATAGATAGAGAGAGAGAGAGAGAGAGGGAGATCTCTCTCTCTCTCTCTCTCTCTCTCTCTCTCTCTCTCTCTCTCTCTCTCTCTCTCTCTCTCTCTCTCTCTCTCTCTCTCTCTCTCTCTCTCTCTCTCTCTCTCTCTCCTCTATCTCTCCTCTCTCTGTCTCTGTCTCTGTCTCTGTCTCTGTCTCTGTCTCTGTCTCTGTCTCTGTCTCTGTCTCTGTCTCTGTCTCTGTCTCTGTCTCTGTCTCTGTCTCTGTCTCTGTCTCTCTGTCTCTGTCTCTGTCTCTGTCTCTGTCTCTTTCTCTGTCTCTGTCTCTGTCTCTGTCTCTGTCTCTGTCTCTGTCTCTGTCTCTGTCTCTGTCTCTGTCTCTGTCTCTGTCTCTATCTATCTCTATCTCTATCTCTATCTCTTTCTCTATACATATATATATATATATATGTGTATATATATATATATATATAATGCATATATGTAAAGATTCGTCACTCTAGAAGCAGTAGGCAGTGCTTACACAGCAACGCCAGCCGAACCGAAGCAGATACGAATGGGACCCCCTCATTAACAGACCAACAAATACTCGTGGAATCTTCCATTTGTACGGAGGGCCACCGTTAGGGCGGAGAGCGCAGCGGCATTGAGTGCTTTGCGTTTGGCAAGTGAGCGTTGTTACCTGACATGGAGGAGTATGTGTGATGCGTAAATGTTCATGCTTGTGTTATTATATGTATGTAAAATGTTTGCGCTATACTAATACTGTACAAAGCCGATGTATGTAGACATGAGACCCATGTTAAAATAGTCACTAGAGAATTCGAGTTTACAAGCACGCGATTACATCGACTCTGTCTAAAGCTGTTACTCTAGAAAATGTCCAATGGAGGATGAAGCCTTGTAGACGTAACTTATACCAGACCACGCAATATGGCAGCCTATAGATTGTTTTATCATCGGTTGTTGTGCCTTTTTAAGCGAGCAGCGAGAAAAAGCGAAAGCTGTCATTAGATTTATTGAGAAAACATCAAAAAAGATCAGCATTACTGAGTCCGCTGGGATTGTGAACGAAATATGCGTAAAGAATAATCTGCTCCTTAAGTTAACATGTATATATATATATATATATATATATATATATATATATATATACATGTACATACTTTTATATAGATAGATAGACGATTCAGACGATTCTCACGACTAAAAATAGAAGCGAGAGGTGGAGGACTGGCAAAAATATGGAAGCACTGTATTTGTAGACGGAGCCGCCCGGTAGCCACAAGACTCGTAGGAGTCGTGTTGGTGGTTTTGAAATTCACTTCGGGCGCTGGAAGTCGGAGGCGGAACCTATTCCGCTGAAGCGGGAGCAATGTTAGGTCGTTCTTCCCCTGCGCGTTTGCTATAAAGAGCATGTCCAGACTGGGAACTGCACCTGCGCAAAACTGATTATAACACAGTTATTCGGACGTCCCATGCTCGGCCGCCAAAGGCAAAAAAGAAATCCGTTGGGCGGCTCCGGCGGCGTCCCCGGACCGGCGCCGGTGCCGCCGGCCGGGTCCGGAACACGGGCTTTGTCTGCCTCCTTCCGCAGCAGGGCGACGGGAGACGTCAGTCGGGGACCGGCGACGCCGGCGGGGATCGCCAACCGGCGGCGGCGGCCCCACCTTCCCCCTCTGTGTCGCGGGCGTGCCGGCCTCACCGGTCGGCACTGTCGTCCCGCCGTCGCCTGCATATCGACGAGGGCGTGCGGTATCTCGCGCCGGAAATCGATGTGGACCAGGCGCGTCTTTCAGTGGTTCGCGGGTGGTGAATGCCGACAATGGACGAGTGAACACGGAACGGCACTGGCGCCGCGGCTTTGTGTTCGGGCGACTGGTGTGCCTTTTGTGACTTTGTGATGTCGCACTTCCGATCTGTGTGCCTCGTGTTGCGACCGGTCCGCGTCGGCAGCAGTGCCGCCGCTCCCCGCAGACGGTATCGGCACGCGGCGGTCCGTTCGGCTGGATCTCGCCTGGGCTTTGTCCGGTCGTGTCTGGCGCCGAGCTTAAGTGACTTGTCGCCGGCCGACGCTGTGGGGTCGTGCCAAACCTCGTCATATCGGAGCCGACACGCTGCATCGGCAGCGCGGCGTTTGGGACGCCACTTATTTTACCCGCATGGCTGCGGCAGCAACCTGAGCTGTGCAGCGCGACGCGGTGCGCACAACCACCCGATGTCGGCGCCGGAACCACCCTATGTCGGCGCCGGCACCAGCCGGCGTCGGCACGCCTGCTGCGAGGCACCGCTGTCGACGGAGTCGACGGCCCGCCTCCTGTCTGGCGGGGGCAGGCCACGCCGGCACGCCGCCACTCACCGCGCTGATTACTACCTGTGATTGCCCGTCGGCCGGACATCACTGCCAGCGGTGACGTGCCCCTGTCGGCCCGCACGCGAGCGTGCGCACCTCTGGCCGGCGGCGGGCGCCAGCTCGGCCTCCGGAGGCCGTGCAGCCTCCATGCCGGCGGCACCGTGTGGACCGCCGCCACTGGTGACCGCCGCCGGCCACTCCGTGCCGACACGGCCGGGCGCCAAACTGCGTAAAATGGCCGGCGGACAGCGCATAAATCGGCGGGCGACAGTCACGCACGCGGCCGATCAGATAGGGCCGGCGTGCGGCGCGCCCGTCCGTCGCCGCCGCTGCCGGCCACCGGCGGCGGCGGCTGGTGGGCGCGCCGCCGTCCAGCCGGCGCGAACACCAGCGGATGCGAGCCGACGCGAGCGGCTGTGCGGCGGACGGATGCACGACACGCCGTGACCGGCGCGCTGATGAATTGGCCGTCACAGCGCTGCCGGCGATGTCCACCCTGCTACGCTCTGGGACGGGGCAGTCAGTCTGGTGAGCCAGGGTCCTCCCACCGCCTCCCCACTGGTCCGTGTCTGGGCCGAACGGAGGAGGCCAGGTCTGTGCTCTCGTGTTCGTGCCAGGGTGGCGTACGAGGCAGAGTCCTCGCTCGGTCTTTTCGCCTCCGCGCCCCCCGCCCGCGACTTCCCCAGGGTCTGGCGGGGGCGGCAGCGTCTGCCTCACCCCCGAACCGGACAGTTCCGTCGCCGTCCATTTGTGTCGGCCGCCGGACCGACACAGCCCGTGCCGTGCCGTCCGTCCGGCGCCCGTCGGACCGTCGGCGGGCGGCGGGCGGCGGCGGCGGCGGCGGCGGCTCATCTGCATGGAGCGCGGCCTGCCGAGAACGATAGCCGGCAGGCGGCGGAACATCACCGCTGATAGCGGCCGGCGCCGACGGACGTTCGCCGGCCGTGAGATTGCGCCGCGGAGGAAAGCCCGCTTTGATGTCGGCCCGAATCAGCTTCGTCAGCCGAAAGGCGCGCTGTCGGCTTCTCGAGGTGGCCCATTGTTCCGTGCATTTTACGCGCCGTCCATTCTGCCTAGCCCCTTGAGCGGCGACGTTCGTTCTTCTGTGCCCCGTTCTCGTTTCGTTATTGGCTGGGTTTCCACTTGCCACTGGGCGGGGTCCCACTCCCCTTGATCTGGAGGAGGGTGGTTCGACCACCGAGTCCCGCGCCCGTCAGCGCTGCGGTGTGGCCGCCCACCTGCCAACTCGGCATCGTTATGCGCACCTCGTCAACTCCACCGGTCTGTGTAATGTAATTGGGAACACAGGGGGCGCGATAAGTCGAGCGCCCGGGGGCGGCGTCAACAGCGTATTGTGCGTGCCGGCGGCGGGCCAGAACCAGCCCAGTGTCAGGGGTTTGTCGATAGTGGAGCGGGGATCGGGGTCCCGCCGGCCCGTTGCTGAGGTGTCGCGCACCAAAGTGGCCTAATTCCAGCCTCGCAAGAGCTGCGATTCAACCTGCGATCACGAAAGTCACGTCTGCTTTTGAGCGCCGTATGCCACGTGGCTGCAATGCCCTGAACTACTGCGCGGTTGATGAAGAACGAACTGTGATTCTTGTATAAAGTTGATCACTGTAATCCTCGTTATTTGTTTCATGCATTTAATTCAATTTGATTTAGTTCATTTGATCTATTTATAATCATTCATCAACTCATGGAAATTGTGGCTTCAGGTCTCGGTCGTGACACTGCCGCTTCAGTCTCTCACACGAGCGGTCGTGCGAGGGTCGTGATACATTTCGCCACACCCAGAAGGGTGCGGTACGCGCATGAGCACCCGGTAACCACGCCAGTGCCGGTTCGAGCGAGCGCGACCCGCTCACGGCCACAGAGAGAAGAACCGCAGGCACGCGCCGCTTTGCGCCTTGTATCTGTTCGTCCGTCAGCACGTCACACCGTCACGTCACGCCGTCACGTCACGTCACCAGGTCGATACTGCATCGACTGGCCGGTGAGGATTACCGACCGGTGCTTACCGCGCGCGGTGACCGCAGTGGTGACGAGCGCCTGTCGCGTTGCAGACGATGCACGCGCACTCCCAGTTCTGCATCTCCGGCGACCGGACGGTGGACGCCACGCGCGACGCCATCAGCAGCATCGCCGCCGAGGAGAGCGACGAGGCGTTCGTCATCGTGCTGAGCGGTGAGCGGACGGCCGCGGCACGCGCCGCGCGGCTCGGCCCCGCCGCTGCGCAGAGCACGCGACGGCGAGGCGGGCTTATTTGTTCGGGCACTGTGGGGGGGGGGGGGGGGAGAGGGGATGATGGGTTTTGTCGGCGGTGTTGTGAGTTGTGATTGTGGTGGGCCGGGGCGTCCGCTGGTGGAGCTGGTGTCTGCGGAGGCGCCAGTGCCGTTTGATGATGCAGACAGACCGTGCCGTCGCTGGCCGTCCGCGATGCGCTGTTCAGCCACTCGCGCCGCGGGATGATCACGTACGCATACACACCCTCACATGTCATCCTAGGAGACGGCGGCCTCTGTCCTCGCGGGAGGTGGAGGTCTGCGCATTCCTGAGCGCTAGAGGTGAAGCCTTCGGGGCAACTATGGGCAAGGCGCCCATACTTCTGCCGAGGGCTCCCGCCGGGCGCGCTGGGCTGGTACGCAGTGTTATACGCAGTTTGTTGTTAATGTGACCCTGGCGGGCTGGCGCGAGCCGACCGTACGTCGCCATCAGTTCCTAGTCTGAAACACGGACAACACAATCGGACGGGCGAACAGACGATTTTTGCCCGGTCGTGAAGAGAAATTTCCATCTCGCAGTACGGCTTGGACAGCAGCGAAATTGAATCAAGCCATTCCCGGGGCGACGAAAATTTATGAGCAATTTGGCGAAAAATGGCCGTATTGCCACACCCTTGTGTGACTTTTGGCCGTTGAAACTCAGCGGTGAACCTTTTGCATCGCCGCTAGGTCCGGTGATTTCCGGTGCGAGAGAGCTCGTGCGTGAAGCCGGGTGTGCGCTCGGCCGTAAACGGCGCCGAGGGAGCCTATTTAGATGATGGGAGCGCGTCTGCCTTCGTTATTTGCTCTAGTCCAATTAGAAGACGTTCAGCAATACATTTTTTTTTTTGCCATGATTGTTTGTGTAACTTAGTCCAGGTGCTGGTAAGCCACCGATGACAGTATTTTAAGATTCCTGGAAACGGGGAGGTCCCACGTAACCATGTCATCAGCACGCATTGAAACACAGCGTGGTAACGCGAACACCAAGCAGCCCGCAAAACATGCGAACGCGCACACCCACGCACCTACGCACGCATGCACGCGCACACACGCACGCACGCACGCTGGCACGCACGCACGCATTCACGCGCACGCACGCACCCGCGCACGCACACTCCTGATGTAGGTCTGCTCACGAGAGCAGGCCAGGTGCGCCCTACCGTCAGGGACGCGTCCCCGCCGGGCCGATGGTCGCCGGCGCCGGCGGCATATTTTCTTTCCGTGATTGCCAATTCTGATCTGGTTTTACATGAGTGCTTCTTGCACGGGTGTGCTCCTGCATGTGTGCTGATTTGCCAGAAGGCCTGTTTTGTTTTTTATGTGACGGTAGCTGGTTTTCCCTTTTGAACGTTTTTTTGTTGTCCCTTCCTGATTTATGGCGCCGGAAGCGAGTGGCTGGCCCACCATTACAAACCACTGGGTACCGCATGGTGATGGCCTTCACATGATCACCTCGCTTTTTTAAAGTCGCAATATGAGTATTGCGGTCGGCGCACCCCAAGAAACCCAATTACCAACAAATGTAAATACTTCAAAGCGAAATTAGAAGGAAACAGTACGTGTGTTTGGGAATACAACGCGCCAAACGTGTCTCGGTGATTGGATGGAAGATGGGATGGTATGAATGATCCTGACCATTTTATGTAAAAGTCGATGTGGAAAGGCCTGGTGTTACCAGTCTGTCGCCATCAGAGTTCATGTGCAAAGAATCACCGAGCTTCGGTATGTTATAAATTACGGCTTAAAATATTCGTTCGCTTTCTTCCGTATGCAGTGAGGAATATCGGACAAAGCAATGCAACATGATCGCTTACGTCGATTGATTCTTCGTTGGTTTGTGTGTATTTATTACCTACACGCTCAGGTGAAGTTTTCCCTTTTGAGCGTAAGGTCTCATAAAGTCTCATTTAAAGCCTCGCAGTCTGGCGTGGGATCACGCCTCCGTGTATATGCGTCAGCGAACTGAAGCCGACCGAACGGACCAGCGTAACGCTGACGACGGTGACTCACGAGCACCAAGGGCAAGCGCCAGTGGGCTGGCCCAGTGGTCTCGCCTGTGGTGCCGTCTCGACAGCGAGTGGGATATGCATGGGCATGGGCTGGCCCAGCGGTCTCGCCAGTGGTGTCGTCTCGACAGTGAGTGGGATATGTACGGGCTTAAGCGTGCCTGTGATGATGTACTCAGTTGGGGCGGGACGTTGTGCTCCGGTGCGGCGCGGCTGATCAGGTGGCAGCGGCCGCCAGCCGCGCCGGCTGACGCTCGCCACCAGTCGCCCTGGCCGCTCCAGTCCCGGCTGGGCTCCCGGAACTATCCACTTTCAAAGCTGCTGGAAACTTGCGCCGAGTCGGGGGTCTTGGCTCGCGCCCCGGTGGGTGTTGGCTCGGCAGAGACTGTGCATTCACCGTCGCACAGCTTTGAAGCTCTCCAGAACGGCCGCTGAATGAGCTTGTCATCTAGCCAAGGAAAATTATGCAGGCGGAGTGTTTATTGCTTCGTTCAGTGCAGGCGAGAAGTAAGGTTTTGACCAATTGTCAGAACACCGCAGACGCCAGAGCTTCCCCTCCCCTTTGTGTGAACGGATTTTGACAGTGGATCACGGTTGACGTTCTAAACTTTCTCATAACTGTTTGGCACTAGGGCAGACATTGTTTCCCATATACTGTGCCTGCGTACACATCGTGCGCGTCGCGCACGGGCATGATGTCGCTACTACTCGTGATGTCTTCAGGGTTGAGTGCGCATCGTCGCTGTACATTAAGTGTATCCAGTTGTGTGCTGCGCTTAGCGATACCAAACAGTCGCAGCAAAAGATTGGCGTCAGTGAGAGTTAGATTTTCAGAAATACTCGCCGTTCCCTCATAACTCGCTGTGTTCGTCGTAACCACCAGCACATTGCTACAGTTGGTGGCGGCCGGCGGTGACGGTTGCTGGGCTCGTGACGTGCGTGGGGGTGGGCAACGCCGCTGGGCGCCCCAGTTTACAGTTAGTGCGAACGTTTTGATTGGATGGGTTTCTGGGACTGGCGCCCACGCTGAGCTGGGCTTGTTGCGTGAACCCTGACGCCACCACCAGGCCGTTAAACTCCCGTTCAACGGCATTATTTTCGGCGCAAATTTAATATGACGCAATGCTCGGCACGACCAGTCCTGACCCGTGACGTCACGTGACCTTCAGCGCGGCCGCTGCCACCGGCTGCAGATCAGCCCAGTCATATGTCATCCCAGGGAAGAAGCGGGCACCCGCGGCGAGCCGAACCCACGCCGCCCCTGGTCGTTTCCTGTCGCAGTGCCTGGCACTGGTGAGCTGGGGCTGGAGCCGGAGCTGCGGCCAGTGCTCAGCGCTGCAGCTGTCCCGCGCGTCGGTGCGGGCGGCTGACAGTGAGCAGATAGGGCCGTGAATGGTGGCGCGGGCCGGCACCTCCCATTCAGCGGCGGCCCGCTTGAAGCGGCGCTCGGGATTGCCATCGACCGGCCGGGACCTGTCTCCGTGCTATCAGGCCGGCCGGCCGGGCGCCGGACGAGCCGGCCGCCGCCGCCGCCGCCGCCGTCAGACAGCCGTCGTACCCCGTGGTCTGGCAGTGGGGCCACTGCCGACTTCGCCTCGCGCCGCGCGGGCGAATGCTGCGTTGTTGGGCTGCGTCGTCGGTGGCGGTCATATGGGACGCCTGTGGCGGTCATATGGGACGCAATCATGGAATGCGTAAGCGATGTGTACCTGCGGTTGCGTCAATATCCCCAGTGTTGGGCCCGCAGGCGTTAATATCTGACGGATCTGGCACGCATCAGTCAACTTTGACTCCATATTGACATGCCGGTGGGGCCTACTCTTCTCATTGTTTGGAGCTGCATCTCATAAGCAGCATACGCAGTTTCGCGCAGTCCAAAGCGTAGCCAGACACCGTTACGCCTGGCCAGTTTTGCTGTTGACGTCCTTCCTCGACGTCAGCTGAAAAGCTGCTTGCCAGGTGTGGGTGTCGGTTGGTCCGGACGGACATTTTTGTCTTCATGTCGTTCTGTAACACTGACGTGAAAGCCCTCCACCGGCGCGTGTCATTGACAAGCTTGGTGAGTGTAGTTAGGAAGAAGCCGTCTGCTTGTGTCGGTTCTTGTCGGGTGTCGGGCCTTTTTCGTCTAAAGAGCACATGCTGTTGTCAATGGCTTCGTGCAGTAAGCCGTCACTCGGAAACGTGTGGTCAAAATTGACCCTCAGCTGGCGCTAACGACCCAGCAGATGCGACGCACCCCTGTCTGGATGCCACTGATCGGCATCCGGCAACGCGGACGTAATTCTGCCATAACGCTGCGGAGTAATCTCCTGTTCGTGTTCCCTTCTTTCAAGGAAAGACATAACGAGGCGCTGATGCTGTGTCGTGTCGTTTCTCCGGCGTAAGTGGCACGTCCGGTGTAACGCCCGCGGTCGCCGCTCGCCGCCTGGCCGGTCGTCACTCTGCGTCGCGGAGCCTGTGCGGCGGTGAGATGAAGCTGTACGGTAGTCGTCATAGAAGCATGGCAGTTGTAACCATCTAAAGCAAACGCGAATCTGAATACCTGGTCTTGAGCACGGTCAGGTCCGCAGCTCCGTGGTTGGAACCAGCTCTTGGACGCCGCCGTTGTGAGCGACTCTTCGCCGACTACAAGCACGTTCGTGTCAAGGACCGAACCCCGGAACTTCCTCACTGCGGCAGGGCGTGTGATGGGCTGACCCCCCCCCCCCCCTCCCCCCCCCCCGGTCCGCGGCTGAAGAGACTAGCCGTGCCTCGACCGTCTGCGGGCACGGACGGGCGGCCACCCGACGGCTTTGAAGTCTAACGAGCACCGGCGCGTCGCCTGATGGGCCACGAGAGCCCAGCGGCCGCCGACTTTGTTCTGGGACATGATTGGACGGTGCTGCCGCTGCGTCCTGGTAAACGGTGACACGTCGTCAGCGACACAACTCTCGGAGGAGACGGCGGACGGCGGCGGCGTGGGCCGGGTTCCGGCCCTGCTGTCCTCACACGGCCGGAGACGACCTTCGTCTGCAGAGAGACGAGGGGGGGGGGGGGACAGTTGGAGAAGTAGTGAACAGTGTTTCGGCTGCTTGCCCGCCGCCCCCGAACGGCGTTCTCTTGTCCCCTGGGAGTGGCGTCGTCGCTGCCTCAGGAGGACAGCGGCCGTCGACAGCGGCGCCGGCGGCGTCATTTGCGCCCCAGCAGGCGGTGGCGGCCTCCGGAGCGCCCGCTGCCTTGTGAGGCGGCGGGTCGGGACCTGGCGACTGCTTGGCGTTTGCGCAGTTTACGAGCTAGGCCACTGATTTTCCGTTTGGGCCCGGCGGCGTGGCGGCGGCCGGGCGACACCTGACCCGGCGTCAAGAATGGTATATGCTGTGCCGTGTGTTGTGTCACCGCTCGCGGACGCCGGAGTCGGCCATGACCGTCGTCCTACACTGCCTGTCCTTTGACTTGTCTCAATTTGCTATGCAATTTCGTCGCACTGTCACCGCACCGTTCGCTGCGATCAGGTCCCTGTGAGGGGGACTTGTACGATCCTGTCGCTCATGTTATCCCCGGACCGCGGCGCTGCCGCGTCGCTGCGGTGAGACGATGAGCGCCGCGCCCCAGCGCTGCCTGACGAGGCCCTCCCGGTTCCAGACGCCAACCTTGAGCGCTACGGCATCAGGCCGGACGAGTTCCGACGGGTGCTCACTGCCAACACCGACGTCAACACGTCGGCCATCTTCCTCGGCTCGCTGGGTGACCAGGCAGACCGGTGGGTGGCGCGGGACGGAAGCCGGCGGGACGGGAGCCGGTGGTGTGGGAGCCGGCGGGATGGGAGCTGGCGGGACAGGAGCCGGCGGTTCGGGAGCCGGCGGGACGGGAGTCGGTGGGACGGGAGATGGTGGTGTGGGAGCCGGCGGGACGGGAGCTGGCGGGACGGGAGCCGGCGGGATGGGAGCCGGCGGTGCGGGAAGCCTGTGGGACGGGAGCCGGTGGGACGGGAGCCGGTGGGACGGGAGCCGACGAGACGGGAGCCGGCGGGACGGGAGCCGACGGGACGGTAGCCGGCGGGACGGGAGCCAGCGGTGCAGGGGCCGGTGTTGTTGTGGTGGATGACGCCGGACCGGTGGTGCGCAAACCAGTGTTGTCGGTGCTGGTATTTCGGGCCGGCACCGGCTCTGTGGGTAAAAGAAGAGGGAGGGCTTCTATGGCGGCGTTAGCTACTTTTAATTTTGTAGATGGGGCACGCTTTTTTGTCTCTCCAGTGATGCTGTTGGAGCATTCCGTCCGGGTCCGTTGTGTTATTACAAACTCACTGTATGTTCATTTATTCAGCTGTCTCATATGAATGAAGTACTTTAATCGTGGTACATGTATAATATTGTGGGAGCGGAGCATTGGGTGTTGCTATCCCGTTGCAGGGTTTTATGTTTTCGGGATCATTTGTCTGCAGTGTTCCATTATGCATTACATATATCCATCCCTTTGCTGTCATGTGAGTTATGACTATGATTGTGCACTATTGTGTAGTATGGCTGGACATTTGAATCAGCGATATTCTTATCAGTCCTTTCTTGGCATGGCTAGGTGGTTTGCAACCAATTTAGATGGACAGAATATGTCGCGAAATATATGACCTGACTCATCACTGTAAGCGAAACATTTAGCTTAAAATATGTATTATTGTACGATGTTTCTGGTCATTTTTAAGTCTTTTTCTGGCGTGACTTGGCGGCTGAGAGCCAATTTAGACCGATTAAATGTGGCGTAAAATATTAAATCCAGCCCACTATTCCAAGGGAGACACTTAGCTGTTCACTGTTTATTACTGCACGATATTCTAAGCATTGCAATTTTAAAAATATCGTTCAGTGGTGGTTAAAGCCAGTGGCTGTTGGCACCGCCAGCGGTGCCCTGCGGCACCATCAGCGCATGCCTTGCGTCAGCTGGCGTGTCCTGGCGTGGCGTCGCGGGCCGTCTGGACCGCGGACGGCTGCCGGCCGCCGTCTCAGTCGGCCGCCGTCTGGACCGCGGACGGCTGCCGGCCGTCGCCTCAGTCGGCCGCCGTCTGGACCGCGGACGGCTACCGGCCGTCGCCTCAGTCGGCCGCCGTCTGGACCGCGGACGGCTACCGGCCGTCGCCTCAGTCGGCCGCCGTCTGGACCGCGGACGGCTACCGGCCGTCGCCTCAGTCGGCCGCCGTCTGGACCGCGGACGGCTGCCGGCCGTCGCCTCAGTCGGCCGCCGTCTGGACCGCGGACGGCTACCGGCCGTCGCCTCAGTCGGCCGTCGTCTGGACCGCGGACGGCTGCCGGCCGTCGCCTCAGTCGGCCGTCAGCCGTCGCCGCGCCCGGTCGATGTGATTGGTGCGTGGCGGCGCCGGTCGTGTCGGACGCGCCACTGTGGCCCGCCACCCGGTACGATCTATGGGCTCGAGATAAGGCGTGCGCCGCCTTTATGCGGCCGTCCGACCCATTCAGGCCGCGGTTGAAGCGCGGTACCGGCGCGACGGCCGACGACAAGACGGGAGGAGGGGAGGACAGATGCCTGTGGAGGCGAGGGAGGGACACCTCTAGAGGCGGGGGAGGAGCATTTGGGAGGCGAAAGGTGCATCACGGAAATCGGGAAGAAGGGACATCTTGTGAGGCGGAAGAAGGAAGATATATCTCGAGGGCAAGGATGGCCACTGGTAGAGGGGGGGGGGGGGGTGGGGGAAGCTGAGAGGGGAATGAAGCGGACCCGTTGGGAGTCACGTGGGAGTCACGTTGTTGGGCAGGCGACGAATGGCTCCCTCAGAGTACGGGGGAAAAGGACACATTAGGAGAGCGGGAGGAACATTTTGGACGCATGGTATGGATGTCTTAATGGGTGGAAAAAGAGCATGGTCATGTTCAGGGACGGTGAAGGCGAGGTCTTGATTCTCTCCTCCGTGCGAAGAGGGAGGAACGCCTTGGTAGGCGATGCGGTGCCTCTCGATGCGGTCTCCTGGGAAGAAGGAAGAACATGTCGGGACGCCGCTGTGCTGGCGGTGGACTCCGTCCCAATCCGGCCGGCACATCGGGGTGGGGGGGGGGGACAGAATGGTGCTGGCGTGAACGTCTGCGAGCTGTCCGCGTGAGTGGGATAGAACGGCCGGCTGCTGTGAATGGCTTCGGTTGGCTCACAGCGCATGGACCCGGGCTCGGTCTGGGCCAAGGGCAAACATCAAGGCGAAGCACCGCAATATCCCGAACTATCACACCGTCACGCCATTTCGCCTTCCTAACCCAATCGTGCCGTCCGAAATGTAACTGAGGCCAGATCGGATTCAGCCGAGCGTGCGCCAAAGCGCTGCCACCGGGAAGTGCCGTGGCTGTCTCCGTGCGGGCAGATCGTCAGGAGCGGCGGCTCGTGTCGCCAGGCAGGCTCTGAGACGTCCTCAATGCGCGGAGTTAGCCATGGGACGAAACTTACCGACGGGTCCAGCCTGCCGACAGACCGACCTGCCGGCGCGTTTGGCTCCATCCCGTTCTGCATGTCCGAGCTGAGCCCGCGGTTTTCACGTTGCCCGATTGTCGGCAGGCACCCGGTGTGTGACCGCTTCCGACTGTCAGCAGGCACCCGGTGTGTGACCGCTCCCGGCTGTCAGCAGGCACCCAGTGTGTGATCGCTCTCGACTGTCAGCAAGTACCCAGTGTGTAACCGCTTCCGACTGTCAGCAGGCACCCGGTGTGTGACATTTCTCGACTGTCAGCAGGCACCCGGTGTGTGGCCGCTCCCGACTGTCAGCAGGCACCCGGTGTGTGACCGCTCCCGACTGTCAGCAGGCACCCGGTGTGTGACCAGCTCCCGACTGTCAGCAGGCACCCGGTGTGTGACCGCTCCCGACTGTCAGCAGGCACCCGGTGTGTGGCCGCTCCCGACTGTCAGCAGTCGCCCATTGTGTGGCCGCTCCCGACTGTCAGCAGGCACCCAGTGTGTGACTGCTCCCGACTGTCAGCAGGCACCCGGTGTGTGACCGCTCCCTACTGTCACGATCCCAGCCGTTCTTCGCCAGCGCATCGTGTCAGCCACCAACGAAGGGAGCCGTTCGGCCCGTCAGTATTGCATTGTAAACGTTTACGAGCGGAACAATATCTCTGACATGCCGGATCAACGTTTTTAGCAGTCACCGGGAACGCAATTGGCCTGACAACGTTCCCACTCTGTAAAACACCCGACGGTCGCGCCCGGGATCTTTGAGGCACTACCATCGAATTGTGTTCGACGCCCTCCTGCGGCACCAATCAGTTGGTGTTCGGCGCCCTCCTGCGGCACCAGTCACTTGGTGTTCGACACCCTCCTGCGGCACCAATTGCTTGGTGTTCGACGCCCTCCTGCGGCACCAATCCCGTGGTGTTCGACGCCCTTCCCTCGCGGTGCGGACACTCCGGTGATGGTCCTCGATTGAGGTGGTATCATGCAGGTTTTTCAACATTCGTGATCAAATGTTCTCGATGGCAATGGTGCGATTTGTTTCAAAAACACATATGGAGGCAATGGTATCACGAATGAATGAAAGCATTCCTCGGGTGTTGCCCCCGTGCGTTGGGATCGAAGTCATTAAGCCTAGCTTGTTTGGAAGTAGAATGCCACTGCAATTGCGGCCGCAGTGAATCGTGCTGTCACGACGCCGAAGCACTGCATCGTTCCGCATCACCATCGCATTCGCGCAGAGTCAACAGAGTGGGTCGGTAGTCGCCGGGCTCTGTGGACGGCCGCGATCGAACCGCATCGAGCGCCGAACGTGGTTGGCCGCCTCTCCGGCGCGTGCGTCAGCTCCGGCACCTGCCGGCGCCGGCTTTGTCCAAAGGTCACCGATTGCCTGCGGCTATTGTGTTGCGGGTCCTGCCGTGGACACGCGTTAACATGCAGCCTGGCACGGCTTGTTGCGATCGATGGCGATGGGCCGGCGCCACGGGCCACGTCCCGGCGCTGGCCGCCTGTTAGCGGTGACCTTTGTGTGTGCTGCACTTGTTGCCGCTTCGTCCGCACAGCTGGATGAAGAATGAAGCTGAAGTACTTGTGTGCAGCGAAGTTAAAAGGCTGTATTGAAGCGAGCTGTGGTGAAGTTGGTGATATTGCGTGAATGTAATAACTGAGACCGTTTTGGAAGAAACTTAAGCTCGCAAAATGTTATATTGACTCAGTGTTTATTTGTGGTATTTGTAGGAACAAGAATGAGCCTGGCAAAGGTTTCTAAAAACATGGAGTTGTGCTGAGGCGTTATCTCTTACCGCAGCGTGTTGGTTATCTCCAAGTCTATTCCGGGAAATCCGACTTCACAGCTCCAGCTTTTGCGCAGCCACTGTACCAAAATCGTGAAATGATGGTCCTGGATAGGGAGCTTCAAAACCCTGGCCGTACTGAGTCCGGTAGACGTTGTTTCCGACCGTTCAGCCGCCGGTGGTCTGAGTCAACCTGACCCCAGTCTGGTCGCCGTGGCCCGCACCTAAGCAGCGGCACGCGGCGTGCAAGCGCCGGGCCGTCCCCGACTGACGCCTCTGACCATCGGGCGCCGTGCTTGACGCTGCGTCTCTGTCGCTGTCCCTGGCTGACGCCTCTGACTTTCGGTCACCGTCAGTGACACCTCTGACTCTGACGCGTCCGACCCTCAGTCCGTGTCACCAGGCCCAGTGATCAGGTGACGCGTCTGACCCTCAATCTGCGTCACCAGACTCAGTGATCAGCTGACGCGTCTGACCCTGGGTCTGTGTTACCAGACTCAGTGATCAGCTGACGCGTCTGACCCTGGGTCTGTGTTACCAGACTCAGTGATCAGCTGACGCGTCCGACCCCGGGTCCGTGTTACCAGACTCAGTGATCAGCTGACGCGTCTGACCCTCAGTCCGTGTCGCCAAACTCAGTGCTCAGCTGACGCGTCTGACCCATAGTCTGTGTCACCAGACTCAGTGATCAGCAGACGCGTCTGACCCTCAGTCCGTGTCGCCAAACTCAGTGATTTGCTGACGCGTCTGACCCTCGGTCCGTGTCACCACAGTGATCAGCTGACGCGTCTGACCCTCGGTCTGTGTCACCAGGCTCAGTGATCAGCTGCCCGCCGGCCGCTCGTTCGTCTGCCTCGACCTGCGCCAGATCCCGCACATCCTGCAGCAGATCTTCACCTCCGGCATGCTGACCTGAGGCGACCCACGTCCGGTGTCCGGCGGCGTCCGGTGACCGGACACGGCTGTCTGGCGGACGGCCCACTGAGAGGCGGCTCGACAACCCACGTCCGGTGTCCGGCGGCGTCCGGTGACCGGACACGGCTGTCTGGCGGACGGCCCACTGAGAGGCGGCTCGACAACCCACGTCCGGTGTCCGGTGGCGTCCGGTGACCGGACACGGCTGTCTGGCGGACGGCCCACTGAGAGGCGGCTCGACAACCCACGTCCGGTGTCCGGCGGCGTCCGGTGACCGGACACGGCTGTCTGGCGGACGGCCCACTGAGAGGCGGCTCGTGCGCCGGCCGCCGCCGGCGCTGCTGTCGCTGGACCGTGCACCCGGGCTCAGATTAGGCTCGATCCGTCTTGCTGGCCTCTGGCCTGGATGGCGATTACAACCGGCTTGGGCGGGCCGGATGTCAAGCAGGCGCCACGCCGCGCAGGACGGCACGTGGCACGTGCCCTGCGTCGCGCACGGCGCCGTCTGACGCGTGTTGACGCGCGACGGTCGCACGTGCTGGGAGTCGACACGTGTCGAAGCTGATCCAGCGGCGTGGCCTGGTTTGCGTCGGTAGGCAATCAGAGGTGTGATGTGCCGACCAGCCTTCATCCTTTTATGCAAGATGACACATTGCGCTGTTCGGCCCGTCTGAGATAGAAGAGCTGGACGTAATTACTAGTGTGTGATGATGCTGGGTGTTACGGGGTTTGTTAGCGCTCATGTGCGTGTGGTCCTACGATCATGGTGTGTCCGGTGCTCTGCGTGATCGCGCGGCAGAGGGCTGCTATATCAATCGCGCGCGACGGACGTGTACGGCAACGACGGGTAGCCAATGCAATATAGGTCTAGAGCAAGGGTCTGACGAAGCTTTAGCTTTATTGCAGTAATTAAGAGCCTTGAATTGCTCGAAACGACCACAGTGGGGGTGATGCACTCGACCAGATCACCAGGAGGCGAAGACATGACAACCATGTAAGATAAGTTATTTTGAGTGCTTAAGTCAGCACAAAGCATCTTCACGATGCAGCCCACTTGAAGAGCTTGTTGGTTCTTGAACGACCTTTTCTAGAAAGATCATGCATGTGAGCCGCCAGTTTTGCTCTAATTCAGAGTTTTGATCGCACTAGCTGGGTGTTCCGTGCCTGAATACGTCAGCCTCCGTCTGGAAGCAGGGCCCAAACCGTGTCCGGCTCCGGTCGCCGTAGGGCCCAGACCGTGTCCGGCTCCAGTCTTAACAATAAGCATACAAGCGGGCTTCGGATGCGCAACACGGCATTTAACAAAAAAGTCGTCTGTTTTGTACAGCACTGTGCTAAGGGAGTTTGTATGTTGGGTAAGCTCGCACTGCATCCGTACCTGACTTTCAGCCGGTCAAACACACCATGGAAGATATTTCAGACTCGACTGGGCGAGCACTGATAAGCGTTTCCGGCTACATACTCTCGACTGGCGGGTGAAATTACTCTCCTGTTTTCTATCGACAGAAGCAGGTGTCCTGATCAACTGATCACTCCAAAATTTGTATTATTGTATAGCGGCGTGAAGCTGACACCGAATGGCATGACTCTCACCTCGCTAACGGTACCCAGAACGTCGTTATCACAGGTCCTTCCTTCAGGCGCCAGTACCCGCACTAGCCGCTGCAAAACAACATCGATGTTTTCCATTTATTTGCCCAGGGGACCATCGCTGTACGGGGCCTTCGCCAACGACCTGAGCTGCTATGGATCCGAGGCCAACGCCGTCCAGCACGCACACGCACACAGACTGGACTCAAACATCTGTCGGTGCTCGTATCCACCGCATGGTGCACTGCCTACCCTCGCCGAACATTTGGCTCCATGCAGACTCACTGACGGAAAATGCGGCCAACACTGACACTTGGCCGTCGTCGGATGCTACTCCAGGCAACTGGAAACCATTTTTGGTCCACGTCTGTCGCCCGTATAGCTCAAGTGTTTTGAGCCTTTCACATCCCAGCCGCGTTCGGTAGCACCTGCCTGAAAGCGCACCAGCTTCTGCAGTGCTCAGACTGGTCCCTTCACATGCACGGCGTTGCGTTTGCGTGCCTTTGACGTTTGCTCCAAAAAACAACACACAAACAGACTCAAAAGGTGGCCATCGGGTTCTGAAAACCGGATTCAGTTCTCTACGTTTTCTTTAAGTCAGACAACTGCACAGAGAATTTGCTGAACTCGTACTCTACGGCGCCGGTACTGGGTATTGAATGAGCGCTTGTTGCACCAAAAGCGGCAAAAAAGCGCCGGCAACGACGGGACGGCCTATTTCTGGACGCAACGGTCTGTATTGAATGAACGGTTAGCAGATCAGCAGGGAGGGGGAGGAATGACAGGGGGGGGGGGGGGGCAGTTGCTCCTTCTGTCGGCAAGTGGGGGAAACAAAAGTAAGTTTTTGCCCTACCCTCAGAAAAAACCGGAAGGTCCCATTTCCCTAAACCAAAGCTGTGTTAACTATTCGAATATTCCTGAAGATCCAGATGAAAAGCCCCATAAGTTAACTAGAGGAATAAATTCGGCTCAGATGACCCTATTTTTATCCCCCCGTGAGGCACTACCTTTCCGTGGTGGGGGGATTGCGTGCCCCAATGATCCTGCGGGCGGTTGGGGAGGCTTGTAAAGCGCCCCTTCCGGCCAAAGAGGAGGGGCCAGGCAAAACGTGCCTCCCGCAAGGGCTCTGACTCATTCAGAGTAGGGATTAGCAACGCCTCGGCCCCAGCTTTTCAGTCTTATCTGGGTCTCGCCGTACCCCGTTGGATCCGCAGGTAGCGATGAAGGGATCCTGGTCACTGAGGGAGTTGCCCTGCGGGTCAGTCGGGGCATCTTACCAACACGTGGCTTTGGCCCGAATTTGTGATCCTGCGGATGCCTCGTGAAGTCTCCACACGAGGAAACCGGCTGGTCAGGCTTCGTGTTTTCGTGACACTGGCTTGGAGGCAAGCAGGTCATGTGACGGGTGTTGAGGGGGGGGGGGGGAGCTGCCGGGTGCAGTGTCTGCCTGCCGTCCAGCACTTCTTCAGCGATAGATCTTTCTATCTGCTCCTGGTCCCTTTTCTGCTGGTTGTCTTGGTTCGTTGAGAGCACTACATGTGGGAGCGACCATTTCCCAATATGGCTTGGGATGAATGCTGGACACCCAGGCAGGAGGCCTTCCTGCTGGAACCTTCGACGTGCTAACTGGCAGAGGTTTACTGACGAGTGCCATATTAGAGTGCAGCCGACCGAGGACGACAATGCAACGTCTCTTGCACAACAAGTGACATCCACGATTGTCGACACTGCAAGGTCTTGCATCCACTTGACATCACCTGAGCCGCGCAGGATCCCTGTTCCCTGGTGCTCAGAGGACTGCAAGGCGGCAATTCTTAAGCGGAAGCGGGCGTTCAGGGTTTTTAAGCGTTCTGCAACGACCAACAACCTCATCGCTTTTAAAAAGGCCAGAGCATTTGCGAAACGCACAATACGTGAGGCAAAGCGTACATCATGGAGAGAATATGTAAATGGTTTAAATCGTCACACCCCACTGAGTGCAGTGTGGCAGCGAGTCAGTCACATTTCCGGTAGGAGCGTCTCCACTGCAGTTCCGGTGTTGAAAGTGGCGAGAATCACGATATTGAACACACAGGAAGTTTCCAAGAAAATAGGTCTCGCATTTGCAGAAAGGTGCCGACATGGAACAGACGACCCACGATTTATTCGTTACAAGGAACAAAGTGAGAAGACGGCAATCAATTTTAGAATTCCTGACTCAGATATTTATGAGTGCAACCAACCAATCACTGTCATGGAGCTCTGCACTGCTCTTAAGAGAGCTAAGAGTGTGTCGCCTGGATTGGATAAAGTCCACAATGATTTGCTGAATCACCTAAAGAAGGAGTCCTTCCATGCCTTGCTCTCACTTTTCAACTACATATGGTTGCAAGATGACTTCCCGGAGTCGTGGCGGGAGGCCATTATAGTCCCGATACAGAAGCCCGGAAAGGATGGTTCCGACCCACTGCACTACCGCCCAATTTCGCTGACTTCATCCCTATGCAAAGTGACAGAGAGGATGGTGAATGATCGCCTCATGTGGTACACTGAAATTCACGGCTGTCTTTCCAAAGTGCAATGCGGGTTTCGGAAGAACCGATGCACTGTTGACCACTTAACGATCTTAGACACAGCTATACGACATTTTTTTAAAACAAAGACGTCACACGATAGCAGTCTTCTTTGACATTGAGCGGGCTTATGATACCACCTGGCGCTATGACATTCTAAGCAAAGTACACAAGTGTGAACTCCGAGGTCACACGGCATTCTTCATTGAAAACTTTTTACGTCGTCGATTCTTCCGCGTCCAAGTGGGTGGCATGCTATCTGATCGCTATGAACAAGAGAACGGTGTTCCTCAAGGGAGCGTCCTTAGCGTAACCCTGTTTGCGCTGATGATCGATGATATCGCCGACTGTCTGTCACCTATCATCAGTCGGTCGCTGTTTGTGGAAGACTGCCATCTGGTGTGCGGCATCCACAACGACGTCTGCTGAGAGGCAGTTTCAGTTATGCCTGATTAGACTAACTGAGTGGAGCCTTAAGAATGGCTTCAAATTTTCGACCATCAAGACTAAGTGCATGCACTCCTGCTTACAGATTAGAGGCTGTAGAGACCCGGAGTTGCGACTCTATAATGCCACTATCCCAGTTTGTAACATTTGTTTCCTGGGCCTCACGTTTTACCGTCGGCTCACGTTTAAGCAACACTTTAAGATGGTTAAGACTAAGTGTCTCAAGCGCATGAACCTCATGAAAGTAATGTGTCGTATGACCTTTGGAGCCGATAGAAGCACCCTGTTGAACCTGTATAGGGCCCTAATTCAATCAGTCATCGATTATGCTAGTCCTGCCTATGATAGTGCTCCTACATCTTCAAAGCAGGTTTTGTACACAATCCACCATACATGTGTTCGTATAGCCACTAGGGCGTTTCGTATGACCCGAACAAGAAACTTGCTGGTGGAAGCGAATGAACTGCCCTTGCCTCTTAGGGGACAACGACTTACTTTGAATTACGCTATAAAGGTTTCACAATTTCCGGATCACCCAGCCTTTAAGTTCATCTTCTCTCAGACGTTAATCCGTTCTTTCTTGAGGGGGCGGCCCACGTCATCGCGCCCGATGTGCCTGCGCGGGACCGGCTAGACGAGTGGCTTATTACGCTGGATGACATTGCCCCGCACACTCTTCGGGACCCGGCTCCGTGGAGACGTCTGAGTATTAAGTACGATTTAGAACTTTGTCAGCACCTTAAAAATGGCACTTCAGCACCAGAATTCCTCACGTATTCGTTGGAACAGATTTCACAATACACGAACTCATTACAAATATTTACCGATGGGTCCAAGGGCTCAACAGGAACGGGTTGCGCATTTGTTTGCGGTGACCATGCCGTAGGTCTATGCCCCCCGTAGCACCTGTCAGTTTTTTCCTCAGAACTGTTTGCTATTTTAGCAGCGCTTCAGTACGTTCCTTGTCGTCCTGAAAGGGATGTAGTCATTTTTCCCGACTCACGTAGAGCACTTTTATCATTAGACCCGACGGCGATGTCACGTGACCACTCATTTTTGACGCGCTCAATTTGGGAGGAACTGGAATGGCTGGACAACACTTCCTGCCGTATCACATTTATGTGGATCCCCAGCCGCATAGGAATAATGGGAAATGAAAAAGCCGACTCCGCAGCGAAAGCTGCGGCGTGTGAGAGAAACCCAATACCAATTTATGTACCCGCTCGAGATCTGAAGACAGTCATTTCCAAATACGTCCGCAATACGTGGCAGCACATGTTCGACCAACATGTTCACGCT